TTCGTCTTCTGAACTGCTTCCTGGGACTCGAATATTCGCTACTATTGGCATTGTTATGTACGTTCATCCAGAACTAGCAGCTAGTTCTCTGATCAGCTGACTCCTGTCAATAGTCCCTTCGGGTGATTGGTATAAATGGCGAGGATGTGCCAGAAAAGCTGAGATACTTGTGCAAGTTGCTCCCATTCAATCAGAGCACTAACTCCGCGCGATCCTGAAAATCTCGACTGCTAGTACAGGGCTACACAGAGACTCGTTCATTGTTAGGATATTAACACTCGAACTCCCCTCTCGTACTGTACGATATGTCATTTTCGTGTTTGGTTTCCGTCGCAGTGTTGTTACTACCCGGTCGCCGTTGCTCTCCCATAAATCAATTGACAATGGTGAGGAAAGTCAACATAACCGTCTCAACGAGCTAGACCATTTAAAATTATATGAGGCTGCCAGTATCTGCAGTAGGGTGTTGTTGTCTTCTCTTGGTGTATTTTTTTTTCAGCGCCATTCACGCCAACCTGTTTGCATTTTCCCATCTACTTTCTCGCCCCACATGAACCCAATAGAAAGGTTTGGGTACTAAAAGACAACCGTTAAGATGAAGCGCATTCCAGCATCTTATTCAGTTTAAGAATATGCCCTGTAGAATCTGAATGTGTGCATCCGGAACTCGTAGGCGTTAACAGGGCGCATTCTCAATCCCGGCCGTGTTTAGCTAAAAATAAAACGATTATTTTGTCATCCTTTGTCTATTGCTGTGATTTTTTGGTGGGATTTGTTCTTACGACAGCATCCACGGATATAAGGGCCTATACCCATCACAATACACTCCTTTCTCAGATCTTAATAATGTTTTTAGTGACATCGTAAAAACGCGCCCACTAGTGACAGGGTTTCTCAAGTCTCGCTGGTTTTTACCTTGGACAAGAACGTCGTAACGACCATAACTATACTCAAGGGCTCTTCTCAAAGGAAGGTATTCCATCGTCCTAAGCACGAAAGCCTGACACCGTTGCTTCTTTCGCCTACCTTGGTGTATGTTTGTTGCCGACCATACTATGCCTAAAGACAAAATGTCGCAGTCCATTAACATTCATGTCCTCTTGCATCTGGAAGGATCTCCGTATCAGACACAAGTTATTGCAAAAAGTAATGATACGAATTATTATGATGCGATGCCTACTGGTCGTTTCTTCTTTTGTGGTATCCGTACTTTCATGACTATTACCATTAGTGTTCCCTGTCTCGATTACCCAAAAGTCCAGTACATAAGGTGGAATATATCAAGTTTTGGGCCCTTTAGTCACCGATATTGCTATTTGGTCCACATGCCGCCACAGAGGACTAAATCACACCGTGTCATCTCGGCTTGGACTGTTCGATGGTCTTGCAGTGTCGGTGATAATTTAGCGCTTAAAAAGCTAATGAGTTCCCTTGGAGTTTGTTGTTTGTGGCTCAAGTAGTCGATACATTTGACGTCTTCTTTATTTTATCTATACTTTTTCTCGCCTTGATTTCCCCATGTATTCCTCCATCAAAAAGCTCACGTAATAGTTCCCTTGAAATGGGAACTACCATCTGAATGCTCTTTGCCCTTCAAGGTGTAAATCTGTAGTGATCTGTATGAACACCTGTGTCTTGCATTCCCTAAAGTCTTCTCAGTAACTTTGTTCATAATAATGTATGGTCTATGTGCACAGTGTGAAGTGAAACGTGACCGATAAACCGTTCTCTCGTCACTAAAGATGCTTACGAGGTGTTTAGCATGCAGCGAAAAACGGGTTTAAAACGTATTTCAGACTGTTCTCGTTTTCACAGATTTTAGATCGGGATTGTACGTGCCAAACGCGGAAAAAGTTAACATGTTTCAGCCTTGACGACTTAAACTATACTGTTCAGAGACGTCAGCAATCAATTAAATAGCGATGAACTTAATTAATTGCATCTCCATTTCTCAGAAGATTCCTATGCCGTTGGTCATCCGAGTAGCTTTCTGAACTAGTCTGGAAATTGCTTTCTACTCTACAGCTTACTCATTTCGATTATTGCTGAAATAGAAATTTGACTACACATATAATGAACAGTTTACTGCTTCTGAAAAACTTACTGCAGCCACTAAACAGTTCTGGACGAAATTTAACAGCATCTAGCGGTTTGACTCTAACGTGAATTTTTATCTGTATGCGTTTGAGCCAAACTTAAATGTACTAATTTTGTTAAGAATTATGCTAGTGACCGTTGGTAAAGGGTATTTCCCACAATACCTACCCGAATTGTTTTATCCCGTGTTTCCGTACGGACTTTTTTACAATATAGGTTGTGCTCATTTATGAATGTTAGCCGACCGCTAACGGAACTCACTTACCTGCTCTGCATTGGGTGTCGCTTCTCATGCCCTGACAACAGCCGTACCGGCTAGTAGTCTAGGCAATACTATCTGCATATGTTGTACTTTTGTCGGCTCTTCCGCAAGGAGAGTTCAGATTTTCCTCAGTGTTGTGGTCTTTGGGGTCAAATTGGCGGTGAACAATGCATAGACCAACACAAGCTTCCCAAATTTTTGCACATAAAAATCTTTATGTTTCGTGCACGCCGTGTAATATTTTAGTTGGTTCCAGTTTTGAATATATTTTCTGCCTTTCAGACCTGGCTAAAACCTTCAAATCTATTTAGCATACATCTTGACATATAGCGAACTAGCAAGCAAAATTATTCGAAATAATAATCGCAGCAATTTTGGTATTCGTTGGTACATCTCTTTCGACTTGCAAATGCTTATTGTTTTGTGAATAAATGTAGGACTAGGAATCACGATAGCTATCTGAGCTGCAGTTCAAATCAGATTTCCTAGCTTTAAATTGAGATATAGTTCGCTAATAACAACAAATAACTGATAATCGGTTATTTCCGTCTTCCTTTTATTTGCCACTACATTTTTTGTCTCTAACAGATTTCATGCAAAATGAACGAAGATGCTGTCAAAATTCATGCTGTAACTCAACCGGAACAAAAGCGGTTGATACCTTTGGACTCCTCTTCCGAAGCCTCTTCTCTTCCAAGTATTCCGGAGGGCATGGCTCTGACTGAAGAACTTTGCTCTCTTGATTGGCTTCAGACCGAAAACCTTCTGCCTGGAACCATTATGCCAGCGCGGAAGACAGCGAACCAAAAGCCTCTAGTTAAGAGGGCTTGCTTACAGACAGTCTTTTCCGCCGGTTGTGTTCACAGCCTCGATGAGAGGATAAACGAAGATTTGCACCCGCTCAGTTGGCTGCAAGATAGTAACCTGCTCCCGATATCACCCATAGACGAGGAGGAGGAGGAAGATTTGCCCCTCAGCTCCACTATACAAGCTTCGTCCACCCAAAGGGTTCCCGATAGTGCTAAAAAATTGACAGCACCTCCTGTTATCATTCTGTCGAGAGAACATTTGAGACGAACTAGCCCTCCTGCATCTAACAGCGGTCCTTTTC